AAGTTAAGTGTTGCCGGGATGAGAATGATTAGGTGGATGAGTGGCTTTACACTTAGAGACAAAATGCGAAATGAATATATTCGTGATAGGGTTGGTGTAGCTCCTGTGACGGACAAAATTAGAGAAAGTCGTCTTAGATGGTTTGGTCATATTAAACGTCGACCATCTGATGATCCGATTAGGAGAGTAGATGTTTTAGATTCGACTTGTGTTAAGAAAGGCAGAGGTAGACCTAGGAAGACTTGGGCTTATTGTATTAAAAATGATCTTAACTTACTAGTACTAAATGAAAATATGACACTAAATAGGACGCAATCGAGAAAAAGGATTCATGTAGCCGACCCCACGTAGTGGGATTAAGGCTTTGTTGTTGTTGTTGTTGTATTTGTTAGCTCTATATTGCTAGTAGTAATGGGGCCCTATTTGAAAATAAGCTTATTTTGGGATGTATATATGCTGCTGATGATAAAACTCAATTGTGTTGCAGGAGAAGACAAGTATGTTGTTTTTATTTCAGGAGTAAATGTTGGAAGCAATATTTTTAATCCGCTACAATTCCAGCTTTTTGTTGACCATGTAACTGGGCATTTGGGCGGTGAGAATGTATGTACTGCGTTTAGTACCAAGTTGGTTTTTCAGGTTGTAATGCAAAATGGTTCTCACTTTACCACAATTGGACAGGAACAAAAAATCGCTTCTGAAATTGTTCGCGTAGTAATTGCTGGAAATTCAATTGGAATTCCTCAGGGTGTTCTTAATGGACAGGTATAAATGGTACAAATTGACAAATGCGTGATACCAAATTTTGTTGGATTAAATGAAATTTTTCTTTACTTTTATTGCTCTTGCTAGTATCTGAAAGATGATTTGTTTGAATTATTTTGGAACTCTTAGGCATTAACTGCTGAGGATCAATCAAAGCTAATTGAGCCAATTAAGGAGATTGATATCCTACTAACACAGGTTTAAAAACTACCCATGGTCATTTTTAAAGTTCTGAAATGTGCTTTGACTGTGCCTTCCTATCCATAGTCTATTTTTTTATTACTCCTAAATATTTTTTTCATTGTGTTACTGTATGGTGCAGCTTGTTGCAGCTGTGCCTTTGGATATGATGCCAGGCCCTATAGACCCTGCAAATTTTTTTTTACCACAACAGGTACTCACCTCATATAATATTCTTTTGGTTGACTAAAATGTATGTGTAGATGTTCGTGTATTTTTGCATGCTGGTTGATGCTGCATCAAGTTATATGCCATGATTATGTGCTGCTAATCTTGGGAATATTTCTCTTTCACTGCATGTTAGTGTGCCATCCATAGTTCCAAAGTATCATATGTACATGTTAGTTAGCTGGATCTGCTCATTCACTTCTGTGCGTATACGCGGGATCAAATTTTGATCGTCTATACTATCATACACGTGCATTCTTGTGGCTGCCACCCCAGTCCTTCAATGATGCATACTCATTATGACTATGTGACAGTTTTGTTTTATTTTTCTTGTGTGCCTAATATTTCAATTTGCATATTTGTATTGGAGTATACCTTTTTTTTAGTATGTCAATATTTTGTGAATCTTTTTTTGATTGAATTATTCTCTTCATTTTGTATCATGTATTTTTATGTGTTAAATCACTTTCAAGCAAGCATATGTACTGGATGCTTCAATTTGAGAACCATCGAGCTCTGATGTCCACTTCATATTTGATTACATTTTACTTTTTTCAGCCACTGCATCAATGCCTTTTCCCTGGAGCATCTGCTTATAATACATTCTTCTCATGCACAAATCCACATCAATTTGAACTTGATGGTTTTCAGTAAGTTCTATGCCTATTATATTCGGGTTTACCTTCTCTAGATGTTTGCATTTACGAAGCTGAAAAAATTTAGGTTCCTTGGAACATCTGGTCAAAACATTGATGATCTTGAGAAGTATTCCAGTGCCAAAACTAAGCTTGAATTTGTTGAGAGGACGTTGCGATGCAGGCATCTGGCTCCTACTGCGCCTAACACCCTTGGTATGATTAGCTACTACTTATTCCCTAATTTAAGTGTGTTTGCTCAGGTTATTAGAGCATCTCAGGCAGTTTAAGTAGAATGATACCTTCATTTGTTCAATTTTTCTAACTGGGCTCCAGTCAAATTTATGTTTAAAATTGCGTGCAGCTATGTGAAATTAGCATGATTCCCTGCAAAGAATTTTTTTTCAATGTTTTTTTTCTTATTTCTTTTGAATGCTTCTTGTTTATACCCTCAGGTTGTTACCCCTTTACTGAAAAGGATCCTTTCTTCATTGAGAGCTGTCCAAACGTTTACTTTGTTGGAAATCAGGAAAAATATGAAACTCGTTTATTACAGGGTATTTTTTGCTCTCAATGCTTAATTTTATATTTTTAACTCGTTTACTTTTACTTAAATCGCCTCAGCTTTGTTATAGGACCTGAGAAACAACTGGTGAGACTAATCTGCATTCCCCGGTTTTCTGAGTCTGGCGTTGCTGTTATGGTGAGGTTTAGCATTAGCCTTATACTTTACTTTAGCTTTACGTCCAATCGTACTTTCTTTTGCATTTTACTAACTTTTAAGCCCTATAGGAGGTACTATTTAGCTTTTGATGAGGATTACGGAAACAGATATCGGAGAGTCCTCTGTTAACGCTAGCTTTTAAATTGGTTTATTTTGTTGCTTGTTTTGGAAAGCATATTTAAAAAAAAAAAAAAGATGATTATGTTTTCACTTGATTTGAGTGTGAAATTAACATCATGATTTTTGCTTAATTTGGAAGGCATTTGTAGAGTTTAGAATCTATATTAATTTCTAACCTCATCCAACCAAAGGGAAGCGATTTGATAAATTTATCAATTTCAAAACATGTTTCTAATTTCAAGCAGCCAAATGAGCCTGGGTATTTACATATCAAGGGATCAAAATATAAGCCATGTTTGGTTCAAAAGAATTGAATGAGAAATGAAATAAAAACAGAGAAATTTAGTTGAATTTTTGTTTCATCTACTTGTTTGATGGAAGAGTGTAGTGATTTTTTTTTTATTATATGGATAAGAATTTGAGTGTTTATTTCTTGTTTGTAGGGAATATATAAGTTACAATGATATTCTAATAAAATTTTCTTCATCTTTTACATGAGGATTAGCTCGTGAATTGTCAATGAAAAAAATGAGCTTGTCTAACATTCCCTTGATAAATCCAACCACTATAAATTGCGTAGGAACTAAATATCAAACATGAAATTGTGAATTAAATCAGTCTGCATTCCCCTTGATTCCTTCAAAAGCTAAAACAGCCATTGTAATCCTTGCTATGTTTTGCTAGTGTCAAACGTGTTAATTTATTTGCAAAAATTTAGTGCTGCTGCTGTCTTTCCCTTGTGAGACCTTAACGAATTTGGTTCCCTAATTATCTTAAACTGTTTATTTTCTGTTACCGATTTTTTGACATATTGTGATCTTTGTTTTTGCTTTCAGCTAAATCTAAAGAATTTCGATTGCCATACTCTGAATTTCTCAGCAGACCTGGACCCCTGACTGCATAGTCCGCAACATTTGCTGCTGCCATACTGGTAATCCATTATATAGCAAAGTGAATATTTACATTTTTGTATCTTATGTTTGGTACTGACTTTGTTCCGCCATGATCCTGAAGTTTGAAGTACCAGTGAATCAGTAATGCAACTTGGTCTACTCATGAGATCAACTAAAGCCTCAAGAAGAAATTACACGTCTATAAGATGCTTTTTCACACTTCCATTGACCACCTGAATTTTTAGCTGGATCTGTCTTGACATCCAGATCAATGTTCAGAATGCAGTAGATTAAACAATTCTGTTACATTTAATTTAATTGCCTGTACTAGAGATTGAATGGTACATTGGAGCTGGGTTCGCAGATTTGAGCCTTCTCAAATATCCCTTTGTTAGTGTACTGCCAGTTACTAATCGGTTTCTTATGTGATTACCCACTTTTCGTTATTATTCTATTGATTTGATTTCTGAATATCTCAAAAAGAAAAAACTCAATAACAAACAACAACAACAACAAAGCCTTAATGCCACTTCGTGGGGTCGGCTACATGAATCCTTTTTTCTCCCATGTCTTCTTTGGTCTACCTTTGCGTTTCTTAACATAAGTCGAATCTAAAACATCTACTCTCCTAATCGGACCATCAAATGATCGACGTTTAATGTAACCAAACTATCTAAGACGACTCTCTCTAATCTTGTCTGCCACTAGAGCTACACCAACCCTTTAACAGATACATTCGTTTCACATTTAATCGCTAATCTCTAAGTGTAAA